AAAGCCAAGTAATCCTATAGGGACTCTTCTTGAATTCTCTTATAATGATCTTATCTATTAAATGCTAGAGGTTAAGATCAATATGTGGAATTTCAAGTTGAGTAAAAGAAGAGTTTTGAATTTCTAATGGTGGGGGTACCTTTTCTAATTTTCTAAGACTAGTCAATAGGAAAGTCCTATGGCTAGACCTAGGCTACTAAAGAAGTTTTCTAGACCTCAACCAAAATTGAGGTCAATAACGTCGATCCCTGCCGGGGTTGGAAACTTGTTCTTTAAGTGTGTTACAGAAGTCACAATGTTAAAGATTGATTGCAGTGGTCTCCCAAAGATGACATTATATACCGATTCTGATTTGACAACGATGATCTGGACTGAGTGAGTTATCTGTCGAGGAAAATCTCCGAAGACAACATGGAGATTTATTGTTCCCTCGACTCTCACTGGTTGATTATCAAAACCATATAATGGTCCGGATGTAGGTTGAAGTGATTCCCTTGTCAATCCCAAACTGAGGAAAGTTGAATAGAACAATACATTTTCGATCAGGATCCTCTTTACATTATAGCAGAGCTCGCCAATTTCTGTGCTAATGACGAGAGGATCTTAGTGGGGGACTCAAACTCCTTCCAAATCAAAATCATCAAAAGTGAAAGGCTCGGGGTGCTTTCTTCTATATTGGTTCACCTTATCTAGCGATAAGAACTTGATCAGTCGGCAATGGGCCTCTAACAATTGTCTGAATTTTGCCTACCACAAACATGTCGTTGTCTTTGCGTATGTTGCCCCCTGGTAAGAACATTATCGGTATCTGCTGGTTTGTTTTATACAAATCAACCAAGATATCCCTGTTTATTTAACCTTTCAATCTCTTCCTTGAGCTGCTTACACGCTTTAATGGAGTGGCAACGTCTCCGATGAAAATGACAGTATTATTCTTGATTCCCTGAGTTAGACTTTAGGGGGTGAGACCACTTAACGACTTGCTCATCTTTGATAGCCATTAAGATGTTAGCATGTGATGTGCGGAGCGATGTATACTCTTTCTTAGGTCGATACTCACTTTGCTGGCCTGCAGGTTGAGGAAGGAAGTCGTGATTCCTCTGTTGTTCGGACTTTCTCCGTTGCAAAGATTGATTATTATCTCAAGTGTTACTCTTGCACTTTCCCTCAAATTTCTCGAACTGCCCTTTATGTGTTTGATGACCTCATCCACAGTGATTTGGGCCTCAACACATGGACAAGGTCGACATAAGAATGATCTGTCTCCTGCATCAGTGATAAGTAAAAAGGTCTTGGGGCGGAGCCCCCAAGAAATACTCCCATTTGTAACTCCAAATCTACCCTCAAAATCTGACGGGCTTCAGCAGAAAACCTGTGGAGGTAGTCCTTGAGCGACTCTCCTTTACTTTGACAAATTCCCGAGAGATGAGATGAATCCTTGATGATCCTTTAATTTGCGATGAACTGCTTCGCGAACAATTTGACAGACTCGTTAAAGGTGTTTCAGTGTCCACTGACAGAGAGTAGAACTAGGTTCGAGCTTGTCCTTTAAGAGAAGCAGGGAACACTTGACATAGAAGTACAACAAATGCACGTTGAATGTGCATGATGGTTTGATAATGATCAATATACTCGTAAGCGTCAGTTATCCCTTCATATGTATCGATATTTGAAAGCTTGAAGCTTATTGGGATGGGGTGTTAGAGGACCGCATCCGCTAAGGGAGAAGATTCATGGATGTTAAGGTGAGAATAGAAGCGATCCTTTTTCTCTAGGGGGAACTCTTCCCGGACGAGGCGTCATAGTCATTACATCATTACAAATGACATTATCTGGAATGACAAGAAGATGTGGCGATCTCGAATGAGTTGCACGAGATGGATGAGTGGAACTTGCAGTATATAGAAGTTCAACAACACAACCTGACAAGGGATGTGTTCCTTCTTAAGGAGGCGGGCTGGTATGAGTTCCTCCGAGCAGTATGTGTCTTGTATGTCGATGAGTTAATGGTAAAAAAATTTCATCCAATGTTTTAGGAAGCCGCTGTTGAACCTCGCGTAGAAGCTGTATGATCTCTAGTTGAGTGAGACTCCTCCATTATACACTACACATTCGTTCTTCTATTGAAGGACCCGAAACACCTTCGTTGGCAGGATAACATCTTCCATGGAAGGAAGATGAAGAAGCATGTCGTCCTTGACTTCAGGATTGCTCCTTGGAACGATGAGTGTTGGAGCGGGTTGCTATGTTGTCACGAATATTGTGTCTGGTGGCCATGTAGTAAACCACGTAAGTACTTTAGTTGTGGGGATTGAAACTTTCCCACAGATGACGCCAAACTGATGCGTGCTAGAAAATTTGCGGCAGTAGTGTAATGAATTATTGTTATCGCATTGCACAAGGATTCAACACACACTCATATGAAAGAGAAACAACCTGTGATGACACCATAAATTTTTACGTGGAAAACCCGTAAAGGGAAAAAATCACGGGGCATGACCCAGTTATAAAAATTCACTATAAGTTGATGATTATAGAGAACCCTTTTCCCACAGATGGGAAATGGTCACTAGATTTTTCATGTAACAACGTCGACTAACGATGTCTGGTCAGTGGTGGTCGGCGGTGATCGACAGCGTTCGATAGCGGCCAACGGTGGTCAACGGAGGTCGGCATTGGTCGCTGACCGTCGGTGGTGGTTGATGGCGATCAACGATGGCGAAATGATGTTAGACTTGAGCTCCTTCTCCTCAAATTCTGTCTCAAGCATTTTCCTTCATGCAGGGGTGAAACTCTATTTATTGTGTTTTTGATGCAATTAATGCAGAAATATGAACCATTTAGATCAGACGGTTCGGAGAGCTTCCCTCAATCAGATGACGTTTAATTGAAATTTGAGTGCCTTAAAGATGTTAGAATTGATCAATCTTGGGCTCGTTGGATTCGTCTTGTCAAGACGCTTGATTCGACTATAAACACGCTATATTCAACTTCCGTTTGACCTTACAAATGCCTTTGAAAATCCTCCAAGAGGAGTTTAATGATTTGATCCGGGCTTGATCTGACTCAGATTGTACTAGTTGTTATATCATTTGGTCCTTCTCATAGAGCCAGTCAGCTTGACTATATGTTTATTGAAATCAAAGCTCTGAATGACGTTTTTTCAAGATTTGAATATTTCTTGCTCAAAATATTGTCTCGAGATTCGTGTCAGATGATAAAAATTTGTTTGTGGCGCATCAAGTCTATATGTTGCAAAGCTTATGAAAGGTTATCCACATGGATTGCACATTTATAAGATCGAAAGAAAACACGACCATTCAAAGAAATGACTTGTGTGTGTTTCGCTTTTATTTTAGTAGATGACACAAAAAGAAATAATATACAATACTATAATAGTATGACATCTATAATATTTAATCCTCTAAAAAGAATCTTCAAAACTTTAATAACTTATTCAAATGAGTCATTCTTGAACAATACAAGTTTGTGCCACTCAACTTCAAGAAAATTGTCAGCACACCAAACCTAAGTACTAAACTCAAAATCAACAAATGCTACAAACAAGTCATTGAAAGTAATAGAGAAGAAACAATCTTAAAAGAGAGAGCAGGGCATAAACAATCTCAACAACATGAGGGAAATTGTCCAAAACTTTTAAAATAGAATTATGTGAAAATATAGAAATGTTATTATATTCATGCTCCATTTCTAAGAAACATGAGGAAAATAAACAATCATCTAATACTTTCAAATTTATAATAGATATGACATTTGCAAATATATTTCATTAATATTGCAATGTTAAAAGCCAATAAAAATTTTATATTACCAGAGGGCCTGAACACTATACGATGATGAAGGAGAAAATGGTTGTATACTCTAGCTATAGCCTACCAAAAGCATGAAAAAAATAATCAGTTCTCATAATTCAACTATTCCATAAAGAAAATAACAATTTACTCGAGTCTCAAAAGTGATAAATGCTTACTACTAAATGTAATCATTGTCATCATGGTAGAAATTTTCTGAAAAACATCAAGCAAATCTTCCCTATAAATTTTGGATGGGTACCCTACAAACTGAATTTCATCTCAACAATAGAATGATTGCCAAAACCACTAATAATATTTCTACCTATGAACAAGTTCACTGTTCCCCACAATTCTTATATCAGATTTCTTCCACAGAAAAAAAAAAAAACATATATATAAATGCAATAGGCGAGACTGCATAGCAGCTATGCCGAACAAGTTCACCATTCCTCACCATTCTTATATCAGATCTCATCCATAGAAAAAAAAATACCCTAGGTTGTTTCGGTCGAAAGAGTTTCAAGTGAAAAATGAGAGGGAGAGGCAGCCAACCCAAAAGGCGAGAAAGTTCGAGAGAGGTAATGGGAATGGGGAGGCGGGGGGTTAGGGTTATCCTTAGATAGTATAAATGTTAAAATATTTTAATTATAAAACTTATATTATATTATTATATAAATATATAATACCCGTATAAGAAATATTAATATATTATTATTAAATTTTTGTTATATATAATTATTAATTGAATTGAATTTTATAAATATGACAATTTATCCTTTAAAAAATTTATTAATTAAAATTTATAATATTTTATGAATATTTATTATGTATATATTTATTTGTTTATTTATTTTCGAGCCAAATTTTTGCTCGTGCTCAGCTCATTTATATTTTGAGCTTAAAAATTTATTCATGTTCAACTCGTTAGGCTTAACAAACGAGCCGTACAAGAGAAAAACGAGCCAAATTGACCGCCCTAAACCTATTCTACCGGTGGTTTACGGATTTGAAATTACCGCATAAGCAACAAACATATTCCACTGGCGTGGGTCCCGTCCGACAATAAAGACAACTCGAGTCCACCCAAATTGAAAAAGGACGGATCACGTTCCATTTCTAATTTCCCGGCCGTCCAAATTCCAAATCAATCTCCAGTCCCTCCTTTTCCCTCCCTCCAGTTAAATACCTGTCGGTCTGTTACCTACGGATAAAAAACCAAGCTACAAATCGTCGGCAAGAAGGTTTATCTCTCAGTGCGCGCTCTTTCTGTATCTCACTTTCGCATGGAGTGAAGGTAGAGTCACTTTCGCACGGAGGCGCAATAGAGTTCACTCGGCAGAAGTTGCTTCGACTTTATCTCTGCTAAAGTCTCTCTGAGCTGAGAAGAGCAGAGACGTTTTTTTTATTCTTCCACTCGGGCATAACTCTTTAACCTTGTTTCAGAAAGACAACCCGCTGCGGATGCTGCTTTAGAACGTATTTCCATGTAAGGAAATTTTGGGCATAATATGCTTCTACAATCCTTAAATCAACTCTTTTTTATTTTGTACCTTCGCAGATTTGCTTCATCTGTTGCATTTTTAGCCCACCCCAACCCCATGAAGTATTTCTGGATTCTTAGCTTTTTTAGTCTGCTGTTGGTGGGTTGCTCTCGCGGCTTTGATTTGAATTGGACGGAGGTGGTCTTCAATGGCGAGGTGTCAGTCGGTGGGTCTCCGCTCTTCGTACCACTGACTCTGATTCAATCGGCTGCAGCTAAAGGAGCTGGTAATAGAGCTGACCCTCGGTTTTTTTTTTCCTGATACCTCACTGTCGTGTTCTATGACCTCACTTCCAAGTTATTCTAGTCATGGTTGTGAAAAGTTAGATCTGTGTTATAATATCCGGATAGCGATGCCTTTTTTTATTTTTTGTTTATCTTTTTATTCACAGCGCATAAATCTCTCAAGTTTATTTCTTTTGTGACATTTTCTTATAATTTATGTTCTATTGTATTTGTGGTGCTAGTATTTTGTTGCAACTTTAAAGTTTTAATTTTTTGTGTCATTGATTTTTTTTATTTGTACAGGTGACAACGAAATCACAGTTCCAAAAGTAAGATTCACTTTTTGGATAAGTTTACACGAATCACAGAACTCAAGATGCCCTAGAAAGATTAAGGTTCTGTTTGGGACAATAGTAGCTTATCCAGATAAACAAATTATCCAGCTTATTCAGATAAACAACTTATCTTGATAAGTTGATCTGGATAAGCTGACTGGCTGTTTAATGTTTGCATTTGAAAAATAGTTGATTCGTAGGTGTTTCTGGATTAATAACCATTCTGTTCTTGATCTGGATAAGTTAACTAGCTGTTTTGTTTGTGCGTTTGAAAAATAATTGATTTGCAGCTGTTTCCAGATAAATGACCGTTCTGCCACTGTACAGTTGTGCTGTTTGCAACAAGACTATAATGACTATATATTTCATAATTTAGAACAAAAAAAATCACTTCATAATAATACAAAAAAATATATACACATAAGTTAAGAGTGAGTATCAAAAAACCTAAAAAAAGAAAAAAAACATATTAAAAATAAAAATAAAAATATGATAATATTCATTTTAAAAAGTAGAAGAAGTATATCACAAGCAATGTTGTTCTATAGGGATAATATCAAGCACATCACTATTGACAGTGAAATCGACCGGACAGTCTGCCCACCCGAAGAAGCAACACTTCTCATGACTATATGCCCACCGCGGTCATCTGTAGAACTTTCTCCCGTAGTTATGTGCCTGACGTGATGTCAGTAATGAAGTGTATAGTCCGCAGCGGCAGAGCACTCGTCGGGAGGTCCCTGAAATCCTAGAGCTCATCTTCCTTCAAAGATATAATTGAGCATCTATTAGTCATAGCAGAGATATGAAATTCGTTGGATAAATATACAAGGAAATAAAAATAAATGAAAACTATTCAAGCATAAATTAACCAAAAAAATAAGTGGGCGTGGGGGCTTAGAGAACTCACTACACCAACTAACGAATATGTTGTTACAAGAAGATAATAGACCTTGTAAAAAAATAGGGTTTTTGGTTGACTTTTACCTACTTAAAACCAATCTCGTGTGTGTCACATATGCATATCACCAAAGAAGACCATCCAGAAGATCCTAAAAAATTATATCGACCAAAATACAAGAGGAATTTGATTGTCTTCATTAGAATTTCATATATAACACCAACCAATAGCGACTGACAGACCATTCGAAGAACCCATAAGGTCAAATGTCTCATCGTCGACCTCACAAGCTCACAAAAAAGGCAAAAAAACAATGCAAACACATGAAAATTAGAAAATTAATAATATAAGCAGACATGGGGGATCAAAGACTCACTGCACTAACAAACAAATCTGTAACTACAAGAAGACAGTAGACCTTGTAAAAAAAATAGAGTCCTTGGTTACCTTTTACCCATTTAAAACCAACATCGCGTGTCCCATATGCGTATCACACAAAAAGGCCATCCAGAAGATTTTCAAAAATCATATCGCTGAAAATATAAGAGAAATTCAGTTGTCTTCATTAGAATTTCACATGCGACACCAACCAACAGCAACTGACAGACCATCCGAAGATCCCAGAAGGTCAAACATCTCATCGTCGACTTCTCAAGTCCATAAAAATAATTAAAAAAAACAAATGAAGAAAAGCTCTTTCAAAATGTGAATAATATAAAATCAATAGTAACATAGAGTCTAGAAATTAAAGATGAAACTACCGGTCAACATCCAATGATAACATATGTGATCTGCTCTCTCAAAGCTGTCATTTCCACTGCACCATCATCCTGAGTTTCAAATTCAAATGACTCCCTCTCTGTCAGTGTTATAGACTGTCCGACGTGAAATTCAAATGCTTTCAAATGGGTCTTGCATCTGATCGTCGTCTGCTATAATGAAGTCTGGATTCGATCGAGAGTAATGCTGTTGAATATAGTTGTGGAGCGCCATCGTGGCCACCACAATATGTACTTTTTTTTGAAAACGGGTACGTTAACATATCACGTAAGACGACTCTTTTTTCTTCCATGCCCTAAATATTCTTTCAATCACGCCGCATATTGTTAAACATTTCTTTTCTTCCACATGTAACACCGTTTGATCTCTTAAAATCTGCAATGTGGTATTTTGTTTATGGAAATAGCTTCAGATACCCCATCTGTAAGTGATATCCAACATCGACCAAATAATATTTACTTATTTGGAAAATCAATATTAGTAACATTTGATAAAAATACTAATGCGGTATATAAATGAACGAAGCTAGAGGTGGGTGAGGGAAGTTCTGTTTATTATTTTTTGTCGTATAAGCAAAATGTCGATTATCATGTGCACTCCCTCCCCATCCGATTATCACAAATGTGAAACACATGTTGAAGTCACAAACGACCATCACTTTTTTTGTGGGTGATCCACATCGGCCAATGCACACGATCTTTTCATGGTTGGGTAGTCGTGAATCAACGTGGGTATCATCAATGACTCTAATACAGTTCTATTAAAATAGTTAAAGATGTTATTGTTGACAAACTAATTAGATTAAGATGTGAATGTAATGCGTGAATTAAATTTACCTTAAAGAATGACAATTTTTGCAGGAGTCGTCTCGGATGATGGATCCTCCGGTCTAATTATCTATGCCGCTAAATTGACTAATGCTTTCGGACACACGAAGAAATTTTGGCTGATTGTCTCAGATGAATGCTGGAAACGCTCCATCGCTTCTCTCATTGATTCATTCAACGTTAGAATGTAGAGTGTATTGCTAACACCTTCCTTGTAGTCGTTTTGGAGGAACTGTTGAGCCCATGGTTGTTGTGAAGTTCGTGGAGGAGATCTAAAAAAATGGGTACTGACATGCGGAATATATTATTGAACATTGTGGGATGTCCTTCTAGCATCTCATCGTCCCATTTATCATCAATGAAGGACAATGTCATGCATGGAGTTCGATCCACGACAGAGCGGTAGCATTCATACAATATTATCATAATCACCGCAATAACTCTATTTGAGCGAAGTCGCTGCCAATCCATTCTGCAAAAGAGTTTTGTTAATATTCATGAATATCTGCTTGCGGTGATATAACAACATGAAAATATATAAAAAACTTAATAGTAACTGCTCCATATTAGAAATAACGTGCCATCAAACAATGTCATTACATAATCATTTATCTATCGAATAGTGTTATCACAGAGTTGTTTTTTCATAAACAAAAGTAAGTATTGGACACGGATCTTGGGGCACAGCTTTATGAATATCTGCCTACGAGTCGGGTCCTTAGGTAACTTAACAGAGTTTAGATAGAATGTCGAATTAGCCAAAAATCCAGAATGTGAATCTAAAACTCCAAGAAAGTCATCTATGGTGGTGTCATTTGAAGGACCAAACCGAGCTGCACGTACTTCTATTAGCTTATCTATTGAACTTCTGACGAAAGAGTCTTTTTCATTTTTCCTTTTCTCCACCCTGGGCCGCTTTGATTGGCCCGTGGACTTGAGTTCACTCAAGTTTATGTCAGGTTTTCACCTGACCCAGTAACCTGTTCGGCTGCCATTTTTACACTATGTTTGTTACAACAATATCATGTTTGTACTTCACAAATTTATTTCATTCATAAGGGATTATAGCCATCCTATCTTCACCGGTCATTTCTTTGGCAATGTTGCTTACAATTAGAAATGTTACCGCTCCTTCACTTATAATGCAATCATACTTGAGTGATTGCAAATTTTGGGTTGCTAAAATAACATCCTAATAATGCATTGTGATTTCATTAGTGTTTATAGCCAAGTCCTCTTGAATTTAATTCAATGCAAGTGGGGAGTAAAATATTGCCAAAGAAATTCGTTTCAACATATCAACTTGTCAAAAATGACTCAATTGATCTATTTGGCCTGACAAGCTTGGCGAGCTAGTTTGTCCAACCAGTTTGGTCAATTAGCTCGACCAATGGCTCAACAAACCGTTGATAGCAAATTGGTTTGGTGAGTTCTCTTAGCTAGTCAAGTTGACTTCATCAATTCATCAAAGGTTTGGATAGACTTTGTCGTGTAGTGATTGATGTAACGTATCCATACCTAATCAAATCTATAAATAGGGGAGTTCACCTGAGGGTTATGGGATGACAAATTCCCTACCAAAATTCTCTGTTAAACCTACTTGATAATTAGTGAATTTCTCTACTTTTCTTCCCCATTTTATTTCTATTTCTCTTTTTTTTTTTTTAATTTTGTTCACCTTAACATCATTTTCCTAGGTGGTATGAGTCCACTAACGGATCAAAATTCAACAATTAGATATAATTAGTTTAGTGCAAAGTTTTGCAATGATTAACATTAGTTCATGTAGGTTTTGGAAGAGCGAAAATAATTATTCCTATACAATTTCATAGAAAATGATTACAAAATAACTAGAGGGGATGATTTCCCACATTTGGAAAAATAAAAAAATCGGTCATAATTCCCCATGTTCAAAGAATGAAACATGAATTATGACATCAATAATGCTACATTTTAGAAATAGGAAATAACTAATAATAGAATATACTAAAATAAAAAGTTCATAAAAATTCAACACCTTCCATGAAGTTGGAGTAGATATATATATATATCTTGCCCAACCTAGTTACAAGAAGCCAAAATCATGCCTGAACAGTCGTTTGGCGAAGATATCCATTATTTATTGAATAGTAGGGATAAATGAGATTCAAATAGTTGCA